CTTCCTTCCTTCCTTCTTTCTATTTCCATTTCCCTTCCTTCCTCCCTCCCTTCCTTCCTTCCTTCCTTCCTTCCTTCCTTCCTTCTTTCTATTTCCATTTCCCTTCCTTCCTCCCTTCCTTCCTTCCTTCCTTCCTTCCTTCCTTCCTTCTTTCTATTTCCATTTTCCTTCTTTTCTTCCTTCCTTCCTTCCTTCCTTCCTTCCTTCCTTCCTTCCTTCCTTCCTTCCTTCCTTCTTTCCTTCCTTCCTTCTATTTCCATCTCCCTCCCTCCCTCCCTCCCTTCCTTCCTTTCCTTCCTTGTTCCTATTTCCATCTCCATTTCCCCCCCCCCGTTCCCTTTCTTCCTTCTTTGTTCCTATTTCTTTTCTTCTTCCCTCCTTCTAATCCTCCCTCATTTCTATTTTCCTTCTTTCCTCCCTTCTGTCATTCCTCCCTTCCCTTTCTTCCTTCTTCCCTCCTTCCCCCCCTCCCTTTCTTCCTTGTTCCTATTTCCCCCCTCCCCCTCCTTCTTTCCTCCCCTCCCTCTCTCCCTAAAATGGGTTTCCGGTTGTCTAGCAGCTGCTCCAGTTTCTCCGGGGAAGGAAATCCCAGTTTCATCTCAGGAGTCAAGTGGTGGATGGTGAACCCCCTGGCGGCCATTTCTGCCCCCCCCACCCCCCCCTCCTTGCAGGGGGTTTGGGCCTGCTGTGGGATCCGCCAAGCCCCCCATTTCTGCCACACACACCCCCCAATTCCCACTCCCCCCCAATGCTTCCCAACCAAACCTGCTCCAGGGCTGCAGTGCAGGCAGAAGTTTCTCTTCGGCTTCATTCTGACTTTATGGGACTTTTGAACAGGGTTTTATTGTCAATTAATTGCTCTTGGCAGTTGGGCAGTTTAAGTGGGTTTTGGTTTTGATGTTTTATGGTTAAATCCATTTAAAAAAAAAAAGAGAAACCTTTGCAAAGTCCCATCCTGGAGGAAGACCTCCTCTGTAGGCCCCGTATACAATAGGAGCAGATATGGGCAGTCCTCGACTTGCAACGATTCGTTTAGTGACCATTCGAAGTTACCACAGCACGTGAAAGAGTTTTCCACACTTAAGGATCGTTTTCCGCACTCAAGGACCGTTTTCCGCACTCAAGGACCGTTTTCCACACTTAAAGATCGTTTTTCTCACTTAAGGCCCATTTTCTACCCTTAAGGACCGTTTTCCAACCTTAAGGGCCGTTTTTCTCACTTAAGGACCATTTTCCACCCTTAAGGACCGTTTTCCACCCTTAAGGACTGTTTTCCACCCTTAAGGACCGTTTTTCACACTCAAGGACCGTTTTCCACTCTTAAGGACCATTTTCCACACTTAAGGACCGTTTTCCACCCTTAAGGCCCGTTTTCCACACTTAAGGGCCGTTTTTCTCACTTAAGGACCGTTTTCCACCCTTAAGGACCGTTTTCCACCCTTAAGGACTGTTTTCCACCCTTAGGGACCGTTTTCCACCCTTAAGGACCATTTTTCTCACTTAAGGACTGTTTTCCACACTCAAGGCCCGTTTTCCACACTTAAGGACCATTTTCCACACTTAAAGACCATTACAGCATCCCCAAGGGGTCACGTCATCAAAATCCAAAATCCACTCGGCAATCGATTCATATTTACGACGGTCGCAGTGTCCCCGGGGAGGGACGGCGGGTTAGTCACGTGATTCCCCTTTTGTGACCTTCCGACCAGCACGGGGGGAAGCCGGATTCACTTAACAACGCTGTCACTTACTTAAGGACCGCAGCGGTTCTCTGACCGGGGCAAGAAAGGTGGCTAAAATGAGCCCCAACTTGCTTAACGAATGTCTTGCTTAGCGAGAGGAATTTGGGGACTCCCTTTTGGTCATAAGTCAAGGACCACCTGTACTGTGGCATTTTGGGCGCGGGTGCAAATTCGGCATCAGGTGAACAAGTCTTGGGAGTTGGAGGGAACAAGGAGCTCAGCCACTCAGCCAGCCTTGGGAATTTCAGCCTGTTCATTGTTCTCCTTTTTTTCCCTTTCTCTCTCTCTCTCTCTTTTTTTTTGCAAAAAGTTTTTTTATTTTTTAATTATTAAAATATATCTTTGCGAGAACCGAGTGGTGTTCCAGGGGTTTCACATTTTAAATCAGTCGTATCCATAATCACAAACCTAACTTTCTAACACCACATCACTATCTCTTATCATATTTTCTTCTTTATATTCTCATAAATTGCTTTGTACCAGCCTCTTTATTTTTATTCATTCTCCATCTTCCTTAATCGCATATTCACATTCAAAATTTCATCTTAATTTATGGTTATCCCTTAATAAATCTCCTTTGCATTATTACGCTTGCCTCTGTTACGTATATTACGTATATTTATGTAGCTTCCTCTCGTTTAACTTCTCATTTTTTCACAAATACGTTTTCCATCTTATTTTACTTACAGCAATATATCCTCATAACCTTATGCATGTGGATAACAGAATATTTAATTCATTAAAATATACTAATCAATCTCTTAATTTCCTTAATTGTGTATTCTTGTGCCACCATGTTTACAATTTCGTACCATTCATTAAGCATTCAAAATTCCATCTTAACTTATATTATCTCCTATTATGTCTCCGCAATATTACATTTGCCACTGTTGGGTATATTTTATTTTCTATGTTCCTTTTCCTCTTTTAGCATCTAATTTTTACACAAACATATTTTCTTTTAAGCCAATAATATCAAAATTATAACATTATAACCTCATTATCTTATATAAATGAGTAACATAAAAATATATAATTCATTAAAAATATTATTAAAAATGGATACAAGAAATTACAGGGTATGATATTGGATTTAAACCAGAAACATTTTTATTGGGGATGATTACAGGAAATTTAAAGAAACATATCCAATACGGCGTACAACATATAATAACAACAGCAATAATTGCTTATGCCCAGAGCTGGAAAATAGGTGAGAATATGGTAATAAAATAAACTTGATTGTGCCGAAATGGATTGGCTTACGAGGAATTTAAAGCAAAAAAGGAGTCTTGAGTTTTATGAGGTATGGGAAATGTTGTATAGATGGTTAGAGAAGAGAAACAAGATTCGATATGAAAAAAGAATTGTAAATATAAGTGTAGCTTGACACAGTACTGTTAAAATGTAAATGAATATAATACGTATTTTGAAAATAAATAAAATAATAATAATAAATATTATCCTACTATATGGTTACATCTATTTATTTATTTTATTTATTTATTTTTGTCAATTGCTTACAAGATAATAGGTGTAAGAATAAATATAGTTATGAATACATGGATACATATAAGAAAAATATAAAGAAACAATAGGACAGGGACATTAGGCATGTTGGTGCACTTATGCACGCCTCCTACACCTCTTAGGAAAGGGGTGAGGTCAATAGTAGACAGTCTAAGGCTAAAGTTTTTGGGGTTCGGGGAAGAAATCAGAGTCAGGTAGACATTGACCACCCTGTTGCTGAAGTCGTATTTTCTGCAGTCAAGTTTGGTGCGGTTTACCTTGAGTTTGTATCTGTTATGTGCTCTTGTGTTGTTATGGTTGAAGCTGAAGTATTCATGGACAGGTAGGACATTGCAATGTATGATTTTATATACCATACATAGATCGGACCGAAGGTGGCGTAATTCAAGGTTTTCTAGGTCTAGAATTTCTAGTCTGGTGGCATAAGGTATTCTACAACAAGTAGAGGAGTGGAGAACTCTTCTTGTGAAATATTTCTGGACTTTCTCAACTGTGTTAATATCAGATACGTAATGTGGGTTCCAGACTGATGAGCTGTATTCAAGTATTGGTCTCGCAAATGTTTTGTATGCTCTAGCTAGTAGTGTGATATTACGAGAGAAAAAGCTACGTAAGATTATGTTAACAACTCTTAACGCCTTTTGGGCTATGTAGTTACAGTGGGCTAATCTCTGTCAGGCTCCGTATAACATTTCTTTTCACATCTTAGCTATTAATCCCTTATTATCTTTCATAAACGTTGATGTCTCTTTTGGTCCCTTTCTCTCCATTCTCTCCCGCTGCAGTATTCGACCGAACTGAAGAAGCTCTACTGCCAGATCGCCAAGACCTGCCCCATCCAAATCAAGGTGATGACCCCCCCACCCCAGGGGGCCGTTATCCGAGCCATGCCGGTTTACAAGAAGGCCGAACACGTGACCGAAGTGGTCAAGCGATGTCCGAATCACGAACTCAGCCGGGAATTCAACGAAGGTGAGGCGTCCGAAGAAGGCGGGAAGGAGGGAGAAATGAAGGATGGCGGTAGTGGAGGAAGGAGGGAGAAGGTAAAGGAGAAGGAAATGGAGAAAAAAGAGAAGAAGGAGAAAGGAATAAGAGGAGGAATAATTCCGGGACAAAATCAATTTTGTTTTTAGTTAACTCTTCTAACCACGTTTGAATCATTTCCCAGTATTTTATTATTCCTCTTAGAAATAATTTAAAAAAAAAACTATAATAGAAAGGCAAAATATCTTATCTTACGTATATTAACAGCAGGAAGAATTTCATATGCCCAGTAGTGGAAGAAAAACTCCATACCACCTGAAGGCTTAATAATCAAACAAAATTTAGTGCGTGTGGAAATGGATAAATTAACTATGGAATTAAAAGGGAAAACAGACACAGAATAAAACGCGGTATGGGAAACATGGTTTATTTGGATTGATAATAGATATAAGAATAGATTAGATTAGATTCAACTTTATTATCATTGCCATGGATACAGGCAACGAAATGCAGTTAGCATCCAACCAGAAGTGCAAAACAACAGTAAAATATAAATATATGTATGCAAATGTGCAAGGCGTCTATGAATATGTCAATGGAAAACACAACAGAATGTATGTACATGAGCGAGCACATAAGGATAAGTGTGACTGCACATATTTGAACATGTACAACTGTACAAAATGTTTATGGACACATTGAATATAAGTACAAATGCACAGAGAATTATACAAAATACATCATATATTATCAAGGGAAGCATCCCCGTATGTGTGGGGGCAAACGAACTGTAAATAATGTATATTATACATAAGAGGGTAGGAAAGTATTATGTATTGTAAGTTTTGATAGGACACATAAATGTGTATATAATGTCACAGCGCTGTTTAATAAACTATTGGTATTGTGTATAAATGGGAAAAAAAGCTCAATAAAGCATTATAAAAAAAAGGAGGAGGAAAAGGAAAGGAAACAGGAGGAGGAATTGTGGTCATGAAGATTTGACTGTGAAAATTTAGGAGCGGGAAGGGTTGGGTGCTCGCAGTGTAGAATGACAGGATTGGAAGAGACCCTAGAGGTCTTCTAGTCCTACCCCTGGCCCAGGTGGGAGACCCTATGCCAATATGGACAAATGACTGTCTCTTCTTTAAACAAAGCTCCAGAGATGGTGTGTAAATGGCATTTAATGACTTGTCTTAGGACCTTTGTGGAGATCTCAGCATTTTTCCTTTCGCTTTAAATATTTTGCATAAGCGCCTCCAAGCAGGGATGTCCAGCCTTGGTTGCTTGGAAGACTTGTGGACTTCAACTCCCAGAATTCCCCAGCCAGCCCTTTTTGACCTGCATTCTCTGTGACCTGCTTACTCTCTTCTAATCCCTTTCTCTGCAGTCTCTCTGCTGTAAATGAGATTGGAGGACAAGAAATAGGCAGGGCTGGCTGGGGAATTCTGGGAGTTGAAGTCCACAAGTCTTCAAGTGGCCAATGTTGGACACACACACACACACACACAGACACACAAAAGTGGCAAGAAAACTTGGAAAATGAGGCAAAACTCACTTAACCCATTTCTCACTTAGCAACATAAATTTGGGGCCTCCGTTTGTGGTCGTAAGTGGAGGACTAACCTGTATTTACGACGGTCACGGCGTCCCACAATCGAGGTTTGTGAGCTGCCCGCCCCAAGTCAGCGGGAGAAATCGGATTCGCTTCATAATTGGCATTGACCGCAACAAAAAAAAAAGTCATAAAATCCGATGTGACTCGCTTAGCGATGCAGGTCGTAGCCTCAGTTGTGGTCGTGAGTCAAGGACCACCTGTGCTTCCTCAGTGTGGAGATGGGCAGGGCGTCTTCCAGCCAAGTTTAACTTGCTTCGGCCTTCCTTGAAGGGGAAGCGGGCTTCATTTCCGGTTGACTCGCGGCCGGAGAAGAAGGGAATTTTGGAACGATTTCTATACTCTTTTTTTTATTTTATTTTTCCCCCCCTCCCAGGCCAAATTGCTCCTCCTAGCCATCTCATCCGCGTGGAAGGCAACAGCCACGCCCAGTACGTGGAAGACCCCATCACCGGGAGGCAGAGCGTCCTCGTCCCTTATGAACCACCCCAGGTGAGCTGAGAGGGCAGGTGGAGGTGTCTCCCTGCCAGGTCTTTCATGATGC